GAAGTTTCAAATCTTGCTACTGATGAGGCCAGTGCTAAGTGTGTTGTATATGGTGCAAAATATCTTAAAGTTTTTCAAAGACTGAAACTCCTAAAAATCCTGATACTACTGAAACTACTAATGTTGCTGAAGGAGAAACTACTATATATCATATTAAATACTTCACAGATGCTAAATGTACAACTGCTGTTGAAGATAATCAAGATGTCACAGTAACAAAAATGGAAACTAAACCAGAAAACACTGTTATCACTATGGTATTGAGTGAAGCTACAGAAGAAGAACCAACTGATCAAGTAACTGACGAAGCTAGAAATACTTATACTCAATATGTTGTTGCTGGTGTTTGTGTTGACAGCAAGATTTTCGTTAAGGCTCAATTTGGTGTTGGTCAACATAAATGTACTGCTGAGAATACAGATATTGGTGATCTTGAAGCTATTATTACTGATAAATACAATGAAATTACATGTACAGTTGAAAAAGTTACTGTTGATGAAAGTAAAGTCTTCACTAAAGATAACACTGCTGCAATTCAAGTAGTTCAAAAAGTTGAAAATACATACACTATTGCTGATAATGCTGAAGTTATTGAAATGACATCTGCAACTGAAGGTGCTGTATTCAAATGTAAAACAGCTGAAGATAAAACTACATGCACTAAAAAGGGAGATATTTTAGTAATTGATGTTGATAAAAAAATTGCTGATGGTAGTATTTGTAAAGATGGTGAGTGTGCAGATTCTAATGGAAAGGTATACTTCTTCTCAAAATGTGAATCAAAGAAGAAATTCTTAATTGTTGGAGGATTCTTCCAACAATTTGAATATAGTGATGATGAATGTAAAAATGTAAAATCACTTGCTATTACAAGTACTTCAAGTAATTCTAGAATTAAGGTTAATGAAGTTGAATATTCAGTTAGTTATACTAAAATTGAACAAGTAGAGACTGTTTATAACAAGGTTTCTGATATTGAGTACAAGACTTATAAAGTTGGTGGATGTGATAAAACTGGTGAATCAACTAGTAAATTTGTAGCTAAGACTTCTGATAACATTTATGTTATTGAAAAATCTACTGACAATAGTTGTGGTACTCCAGAAACAAATGAAATTGAAGTAATTGCTGAAGCTACTAAAGAAGTTCCAGTTGAAGGTGCTACTGTTGTTCGTATTGAGTCTGATGCTTCATGTTCAGTTGTTGAAGTTAATGAAGCTGTTTTCTCAACTTCAATTAAATTAGATACTTGTAATGATAATATCAAATACGTTATTGCTGATGACGCTGTTGTTAAATATACATATGCTGATGCTGATAAGTGTAAAACTAATACTGAAGGAACTGCTGATGAAAATAAATATGCATGTGGATCATGTGTTGATAGTGTCAAGACTATTTGTCCATCAAATACTCCAGATAACACTAACCCAAGTAGTGATAAGAGCAGTAGTAACAATAACAATGATGATGCTGCTCCAAGTATGTTCATTGCTATTGCAGCTGTTATTGCCTTCTTCTTCTTTTAATTGAAGTGATTCGATTTTATTTATAACGAATTTGTTAAAACTTTTAGTTGATAATAAATTATTTTAATAAAAATAACATCTTTCATTACGAATGTAGAAAAAATGTTAATAATAAAATGTTATACTTATCAAAAATATAAAAGAAATAAATTAAAATTAATAATAAGAAAACTAAGTTTCATTGGATAGAAAAATGAATGGTGATGCTATTTACAGTGAGTTTGTTACTGAGATTGGTTATCAATTACTAACTTCCACTAAAATCACAACTGAAGAAAATGAAAAAGAAAAAGAACGCAAAGATGAATTCAAAGAAGTGTCAGCAATGGGTTGTGTATTTTTCCTCATTGACTTGATAAGTGAGTGTCAAAGCAGTGTATTTCAATGGGACAGTATCGGGCTTGATTTAAACCATTAAATAATAATCATTTTATTTATTGTTAAATAGAAAAATTTATTTAAGAAAATAAAAGTTAAGTAAAAAAAAGGATAAGAGGATAAACGAAGTTGAAGTGAAGTTGAGAAACAAAAAAATAATCAAAATCTTAAAAAGAATTATAAAAAAATAATTAATGTGATGGAATTCAAAAACCATACTCCTCCTCCTTTAAGAACTGACTTACTTACAAAATTTAAACAAATGATTATTGCATTACCTAATACTTCATATGTTTTAGGAGATCATTTTGATGAAATATTTGGAACAACATCATTAGAAGTTTTTCTTACAAAACTTAAAACTGTATTTGGAGAATTTGTTAATAACAAAAGTGTTGATGAATCCAAAAGAAAAGAGATTATTGATTCTTTTGAATTCTATGCCGATAGACTGTTAGATCTTTATACACTCTCATAGTTTGTTTATTAATTATAATAATAAAATAAATTGATATAGAGGCTCTTATATTTAGTGAAGGAAATGAAGAAGAAATGAAAAATTACAGTCATTTGTCTTTAGGACGTCTTCCAAAAAAGGAAGATTTATTAAGTAATTTTGATGCGTCTTTACCAAGTAAAAGAGATATTCCAAGTTATAGCTCTGTTTTTAATGAAACTAAACAAGAAAACCAACCAACATTACCTGCACTTTTATTAAAAAAGATTTCAGAAGCAGATAGTGATTTATTAAAGAAAGTAGTTGAAATTATTTCTCCAACTAATTCATGTTGGAATTGTCAAATCTTTCTTGAAGACTTGAGTGATGAGGTTGTTGATAAATTAGTTGAACTATTTGATATTTCTCCATCAGAATATTGTGGTGTTAAAAATGATTAAATGTACTTTCATTTCTTTATTTATCAATATTTTTTTAGTTTTCTTTTTGTATTCAAAAGGACTAATTAAGTTATTTTAAATATAAATGAGTAGCTCAGAAACACCTCGTACATTAGATAGAAAAGATGTTGTCGAACAGTTATTATTATATCAAGCAATGTTACATAAAAATAATCTTGAAATGAAAATTATTCAATGGGAAGGAGGAAAGTCATTATACTCACCAACATCTCATTACGCACAATTACGAGAAATTATTAAAACAATTCCTAAATTTTGGTATTTCACATTAAAAAATAGTGGTTATTTAGACATTGTCTTTGCAAATCAAAATGATGAAAAAATATTAGAGTCATTAATTGATATTAATGTTGATTCTATGAAACAAAATTTAGATGGTAAGAATGTTGTTGATGTAATGGATACATCATACAGAGTAGTTTATTCGTTTAAAGAAAATGAATATCTTCAATCTAACGAAATATTTCAAACAGTTTATTTTACTACAACACAAAATCGTCCTGTACGTTATGAAAATAGCCCAGTCATATTTAAAAATGGATTTGATGTTCATATCGTTAATGACCATTATCATCACTCATTTTTTGATCAATTCTTAATTCCATATGAATCATTAAATGAAGAAGAAAAAAGTGATGCATTAGCAAACTTACATATTATTTTATTCGATGTATTAAAAAATCCTGTTCATTTTTTTAAAGGAACAATGGGTCAATACGAACCAAAAGAAGAAGAAATACTTCACAACTTAGAGATGGAACAAGAAATGGAGGAAAGAAGAAATCAACCATTAAATGAACAACAAACAACTAATACTCATTCAGAAGAAAAAACAAATAACCAACAAGAAATTTTTTCTACCCAAATTAAAGAAGAAGAACAACAAGAACAAATTCAAAAAGAAACAAAAGAAGAAATTTCCTTATCTGAAAAGGAAACAAAAGTTGTATCTGAAGAAAACTACGAACAAATAAAACAGGACTTACAACCTTCAAACATAGTTCCTGTTGAAAAAGTTGAAGATAAAAAAATTCCACAAGTATTAAATATACAACCAATAAAAGAGGAAAAGAACGAACTAATTAAAAATACAATTTACCAAGAAATTAAAGTAGAAGAGAAGATATTAAGTAAAGAAACAAAGTCAGAACCACAAAAATAATAATAAAGATAAAAGAGAATAATCAAAATTGATTTTTATTAAAAAAAAAGAAAAAGGGTTTGAATTATTTTTTGTTTTTTATAAATAACTTTTTTTTAAGAAAAGAAAAACTAAAAATTAATAGAATGCAAAAGTATCAATCAACATTTAATAGAGTTCAAGAGATTGTTCAAAATATTAAAAGAGGGTTTGAGTTTATCTACATAAGTTTAATTAAGAATGTTATATATTTATAATAAATTATAGAGTTGTATATGGAGCATATCAGTCATCTTCTCCAATTCTTTCATTGTTGTCAAGACTTATTGAGAGAGAGCATTTTGAAAGACCTGGAGAATTAATGAATGTTTTAAAAGGAATTGGTAAATATGTTCAAATAGGAACGCAATCAGAATATGCTACAGTAAATATTGTTCGACGTGTTATGTTTATGGCAAGAGAAGTTGAAAAAAGTATGTTAAATGAAGATTTTGATGTACAAGCAAATGAATTACATAGATTAACATTTGAACATCAAACAACTAGTACAATTGATATGGTTAAATATAAAGAATTATTAGTTGAAATGATTAAAGAATTTCAACAAGAATTATCTACACTTTATGAAAGTATTGCAGAACAAGGAGAGTTGTATATTAATGATAACGATACTATTTTATTATATGGTAAATCAAGAACTGTATTAGAATTTGTAGCTGGAGCAAAAAGAAATAGAAAATTTAATGTTATTGTTATTGAAAGTTTACAACGACACGAAGAAAAAGAAATAGTTAATGATTTAAAAGCCAAAGGAATTCAATCACATTTAATTTCTGAATCATCTTTATTTAGCATTTTACCTCGTGTAAATAAAATTATTCTAGGATGTCATTCAGTTTTTGCAAATGGTGGACTCGTTGCTACTTCAGGAGCTTATAACTTATGTAGTGCAGCTAATCATTTCCATGTTCCAGTTTATGTATGTACTGGAACTTATAAAATTTGTCCAAATTTCCCAACAAATTCAAATGGATTTTCTTTAATTCAATCACCATTACCAATAACACCAGTAATTTTATCTACACCAGCTATTGGTCGTACAACTACTGGACTTGAAGAAGTTCTTGAAAAGAAATTAGATGTAGATGAAACTGTTGTTGTTAATGAATACCAAATAAAAGAGGCTCAATACGTCCGGGTAATCAATTCTACATTCGATTATATACAGCCTGATTGGATCAATTTATTCATAACAAATGAGTTTGTTTTAAATTTGTCTTCAGTTCATCTTAAATAATAAGTTTATTAACTTTTTAGAAAAGGTGTTTCACCATCTTATATTTATCGTCTTGTTGCTCAATTATATAATCCTGAAGATACATTCTTTATTGAAACTGGAAATTAATTTATTGACTTTTTGTCACATTTTTCAATAATGTTATTTGTTTTTATGTTATATGAGAAAGTGTATTTATTATAAAGATCTTCAAGACGAAAACAAAGAAATATTAAAAGAAATAAAATAGAAATAATGTAAACTATTTAAATAGATTGCTTGGGTGCAGAAAGAAGATCACAAGAAGATTCTATCATAAAAGAAAATTCTGAGAACCATCTGAGAAATCAAATGGAGATGAAAAGGAAAGAAAAAGAAAATTGAATTTTGAAGATTATTTGGAAAAGGTTAAATTTGAAAAAAAAAAAGGAAAAAAGGGTTATTTTAAAGAATAATAGAAAATTGTTTTTCAATAGTTTTTATTGGTTCATTTAAAAATAGAAGGAATGATAGGCAAATTAAGAATAGAATTAATAGTAATGAATAGTTTTATGTATAATACTTTCGTAGAAGAAAATAAAAATCTGAAGATGATTTTAACTTTCGACTTACCTAAAAAAAAACACAGGACAGAGAACGTTCTTCCATGTCATCAGAAGTACTCTGAAAAACAGAAAGAAGGGATCTTAAAAAGTTAGTACATACCAACGGTTTTAATCAATGTCATTATTTAAAATATTTGTACCCAAAGAAGAGTCTTTACTTAATAAAGCACTGAAAACTGAAAATGGAAAAATTCCAAAAAATATTGTTAAAAAAATTAAAAGAAATGGAAAAAGATTTAATGTCATCTCAATTGTTAAATCATGAGATATTATCTCGTATTAAAAGTAAGTTGAGTACTAATGAATATCTTCGCCTTCTTTGTGTTATTTTTATTATTATTAAACATGACTCAGATAATGCATTATTAATGAAAATTGTATCAAACTCTGTTCAATTTATTACTCATATTCCTGTAAATTATAAAACACAAGAAGAAAAAGAGTTAATGATTGTCTTTTCAAATCATCTTGATTTATATACTTCTTTATATGTTGATGATTCTACTGCTTTAGATAAATCAATTACACTTGATAAAGTATCTACTCTTCATTCAGATAAATCATATGATCAAACTATTAGTTTGTTTCCATTTATTTTAATTAGTTAATAATATATAAATTTAAATCGGTAAGGCTCATGGTGTTAGATACTTTAACTTCTATGTTTCTTAATTTCATTTCATTAGATTGGAATAATCCACGTTTCTTTATTAATAAATTCCATTTATATATAATAAATTTCTTTATTAAAGAATTAACGACTACATTCTATAGGTTATGTTGTTATATACAAGCTTATTTCGATACTATAATTAACGCCCCTCCTAATTCATTAAAAACTTCACTAAAAATTTTACTTCGATTCCAAGAATGTCAATCTTTTTTTAAAAAGACATTAGAAAATCCAAATGTAAGAAATTATTTTCCAAATGCACCTTTATACACTCCTATTGATTTAGAAACCTTTCAAGAATTACTTTGTGCTAGAATGATTAAAAATCAAGAAACTCTTGTTGAGTTAGCAGGTGTTCAAATTCCTGAAGTGATTAAGAATGCTGATATTAATATGCTTACTAATAATTTAAAAGTAGTTAATGAAAATTTTCAGAGGGAATTAAATGAGCAAATGATGAATATTATTTATTTCACTCGTATCGTTGTTGGCTCATCTTCTGTTACTAGAGATATTTCAAGGTCAACTTCTAAACAAAGAAATACATCAACTCTTTCTGAAGGAAGAGATGATACACAAAGTAATAGCATTAAAGAAGGGATGGATAAATGTATCAAAAGTGTTTCCGAAAGACGAATTCATTGTCCTACAGTTTCACAACCATCTACTCCAGTAACAAGAAATCAACGAGTTTCATTTACATTAAATACTAATACATTACCAGATCGTTATTTAACATCAAGTGGAGAAGTAAGCGTTGTGTTCTAAAGAAAGTAAGTTTATAATATTTATTTCTACGTAATGATTATTTTATCAAATCAATTCATTTGAAATACAAAAAAAACAAGTTTTAATTTATTTGTTTATAAACTTTCTTTAATTTATTTTTTAGAGTTATTATATTACTATTATTTTGATTAAAGTAAAATCTTATTTCTATTACTTTCTTAATGATTGATTTTGTTATTAATTGCTTTCTAAACAAAAGTATTTTATAAGTGTTATAAAGTATTTATATTCAAAAATGAATGCTCAACAACAACAAGTGTGCCATTTGATACACCATCATCCATTATTTCTTACAGATCCATTTGAAGTATATAAAGAAAATTATGGGTGGTGGAAATGTGATTTATGTGGTTCTAAACCGTTAAGAAATGAATTAATGTATCATTGTGATGAGTGCGAGTTTGATGTTTGTGCATCTTGTTATCATCAAGTCATTGCTCATTATCATCATTTAAATCATACCTTTGAACCAGATTATGAAAGTAGAGGAAAGTGTTGTGATTGTCATAAAGAAAATAATGACAAATTATTTAGATGTAATCAATGTGTTATGGCTTACTGTAAACAATGTTTTGAATCTCTTTATATCCCATCATTTCATCTTCATGCACTTTATGTTTATAGTCCCTCCATTCTTTATCCTGGTAAGTGGTGGAAATGTGATTATTGTCAACAGGTCTTTGGTAAAAACAAATTCTCTTTATTATTTCATTGTAGAGAATGTCATACAGATTATTGTTTTCATTGTCTTTTTTATGTCTCAAATCATAAGTAGTTAAAACATTCAGATTTTGAAAATAATTCATCACTCCTATTTCTTAAATAATATTATATTTTATTAGTAAAATTGAGATAAAAATTTATTGTTTTTTATTTTCATAAATTATTTTAGGAAATTCAACGTTTAAATTTCTTTTTTTTTAAATAGTTTTAATTAAAAAACTAATATTAAATTTATTCCAACGAAATAGAAAATTTTCCTTTCTTTTAAATTATAAAAATAAAATTCTCTGTTTGTAAAGAAACAAATAAAATCAAATGACGTGGATTTTTTTCAGTAGTTTTCCAACAAATTAAATAGATTTATTTTAAAATTAGTATTTTAATAAAAAAGTAATAAAATATCGGGAGAATTAAAATAATTTACAGAAAAAAAGGAAGCAATATATGAAAGATGGTTACAAAAAAGAGAAAAAATAGTGTTTTTCAAAATAGATTCCAAAATTAGAATCAAATGACGTGGAGCTTGTTATTTATCAGATCTAAGGCTGAACTACTCATTAACTTAATGCAAACATCTCAAATGAATCAATATTGTAATACTAGAAAATTTCCAGTATTTGACACGATAGATTCTACTCCTGTTTTAGAAGATAATGAACCATATCATTTAAAACTTTGTTTTTGTCCATTATGCCAAAAAGGGATGGCTGTATTAGCAAAAGAACGGTCAAGAAATGTTATTTCATGGCAGTATATTTGTAGAGTTATTTTCTATTGTTTATCAGTAATTCATAAAAAGAATGGATACTTTTCTTTAAAATATGATGTTCATTGGTTTATTGTTGATC